TAAAAAATAAAATATATACACTAATTGCAATCCGCCCTTGCTTTGCACGGGTGATTTCTGGTTCTCGACAATAGTTTCACCTACCTGATCCAATCGCGAATCTAAACCGTTCATGGAATCACTCAAACACTCACAAAAATTTCAACAAAATGGGTTCAGCCATTTAGGAGGAGTTCAGTGACGAACATATACAGAAGTATTTTAAAAATAAATATGATATACCTACATATAATAAATCCATTTAGCCGGTCTTCTCCTCCCGTCACGCTAGAAATATAGATCTACATGCTTGAAATATGAACTTATAGTTGCGGTACCTATAATAGATTGCATCACCCTGTATCATCACGTTGATTTCGTAAGCCAGCAGCATATTCCTGATAACATTAAAACTGCGGCTGCCAATCCGCCTGCCAAGCGTGGCAACTGTGGCAAATCTAAGGAAAATCTATGGGGGAGGTATATGTTCAGTTGTGACTTTTGATAGCCTGTAATAAATGAATTATTATAACACCTGTATTATAAGAAATGCTAAGCGCCATAGTATGTGCCTCACGTATACCATTGGCTCATAAGCAGTCCATTGCTGGACTTTGGCCTCTTTGGAGGCTCAGCACTAGTCACTTATGGGGTTACTCAGAAGGTTTTCAGCTATAGTTGGAGCCGGTAGATGTCGCTGATGTCCAAATCCATAATAACTTCCGATCGCTAGTAATCTATATACATGTACAAATAAATAAAACTGAAGAGTCTGTTTGTAATGTCAAAAAAACAGCTTTTTGCTAAATGCATATGAAGGTGTATACGGTACTTATAACAAAAACACAATTTTTTTAATTTTTGTCTCTGTCTATCTGCCTGTTTTGGTCTGTTTGTTCCGGCTAATCTCCGAAACGGCTGGACCAATTTCGGCGGGATTTCACTGGCAGATAGTTAATGTTATAAGGAGTACCTTAGGCTACTTATATTTTAGAAAAAGAACTATGGTTCCGCGCAACATAATTATAACCCTAAATTACACACGGGCGAAGTCGCGGGGAACAGGTAGTGATGTATAAAGTACAAGACGTACCTACCTTTAATCTTGCTTTATACATGGATGGATTGACCTGAAGAAAATGCCCATAGACATTGAGTTCGTCCTTTATCCTTTCTTATAGGGAATACAATAAAGGTTAAAAATAAATAATAAATTACTGTACAAAATAGTTTGATGCAAGCGGCAAAAATAGGAACTGTACAAAAAAATATACAGTGTTTGATATACATATTTGATGTTCATTTACTATTTTTGTAGATTTGATTAGGTTACAAAGGTGTTCGTTTAATTAAAAGCCAATAGATATTATTGTAAAAGTCGCACGACGCTGTTGACCTTTTTGTCACAAGTGATGCGCACTTAGGGTTACCAGATGAAAAAATTAAAAGTCCGGAGAAGAGGCCTGATTTCCATTTAAAAATCCTGAGATTGTACAGTTTGAGAAGAAAAACTTAATTAAAAAGGTATCTTCACATATTAAGTATGATAAAACTGTTTAAGTATCTACTTGGATAAATAAGTTTTAATTTTAATTGTGGAATTATTACCAAAGGAAAATTATTTTTAGTTTGTTTAACATTTTATTAAAGAGATCTTTTAAAATGTAAGCTGTGTTATATTGAAAGTTCTAAAAATCCTGAGATTTCATGAGATTTGCAAAATCCAGCCGCAATCCTGAGAACAGTCTAAAAATCCTGAAATCTCAGGACAAATCCTGAGATATGGTAACCCTATGCGCACTGCATGAGCACCAGAGCATGATAATTTTTAATTTAATAATAAATTTGTTTAAATAAGAAGATAAAGTGAAGATTTTATTTATTACTAGCTGTGCCCGCGGCGTAGCTCGCGTATATAGATTTTACATAAAGAATTTGTCGTTTAGGTAAGAGAATATTAAACGATTTATATCATTACTGTATCAATAAGTGGTAACAAATAAATCATTATCATCAAAGTTCTAAGTAGTTTATGATAGAGCTTCGGTGTAAACGACGTTAGAAGTAGGCTTAGCCGGGGTGTACACAAAAAGGTTACGGGGGCTACTAACGCGGGAGTTGGCCATGTGCAAAACAGTCAGTACTGAGGTCCACTCTTACAACGCGTAAATTTTGACCTTGCACTTTATTTACGGTCATCGCATAACACACGCTGACTGTAACTGGGAACTGAATGCGCTTAAAACTGAAGGGAAAGTTACTTCTTAATAGAGGGTTTTTTGGCAGTGCTGCCAGATCAAAAAAACTCATTCAGCGCTAGGACAACACAAAAAGCGCTAGATTTCATGAAAACAGCGCTTTAAGAAAGCCCTAGAGTTCGCGCTAAATTAACTACAAACAAAGTTTGTGTTTTTTATTATAATTTATAATTCAAGAAAATATAATCATAATAAAGAAAACAACATTAAGTTTTTTTCTGGCAATATTTTTTGATGTATCAATACTTCGCAGGACATCGACTTATAATTATGGCAATTGCTGTCAACAGTAGTTAGTACTACTCTAAGTAACTTTTAACTTAGCTGTGCTCTAAACAACTGACTAAAACTGAATAAAGCAAAATAAATGCGTTGCCAAAACCATGAACGAAAACTTTAATGAAGGGGATTTCCCCGCTTATAGTCGTCGATAAAAAAAATCAAGTTGATCATCCTAAAGGGGAAGCCGGGAGATCCATAGCACAGGGTATCCTAGTTTGGACTCGTCTCCCATGCTCTTTGTTTTGTGGAAAAATATGTTTGGAAAAGTTAAACTGCAATGTACTATTTGTGGAAAAAAATAATAAAGGTCATTATTATTATTATCGGTAATGTGGACTAACAGTGCTGCTATAAAAGAGTTAATAACCCGCTAGTCGCTACAATTTTGAAATTTGTGCTAAATACACCAAAAAGCGCTGGATTAAGTGCTAGGTGCTAAATTTTCGAAATGCGCGCTATACATTCCAAAAAAGCGCTAAATCTAGTTCCCAAAGCGCTAAAATGGCAGTACTGATTTTGCGTATATTATAAATACAATATCACGACATTTCGTTGCAATTTTGTTATTTTTGTTCGGGTTCCGTTGTATGGCTTCGATAGATACTAATTTCTTCAGTAAGTCTCAATACGATTCATCGGCGAAAAATCTCAACACAGCAAATCAGAAAAGTTTGTAATTTGTATAACTCCATCTATTACGTCCTTTGTGTGAGAAAACATCCTTTTTTAAATCTCTTTTTATGTTTTAAGTATAAATATATTAATTATTATGGAACGTTTTTTTTACACACAAATCTTTTTATTACTATTTCTGTGATTTGTATGGCGCCATTGAACAAATTCGAACCTACATTTTAAAATAATAATCATTACTTTCGATAGAATTAACCAATTTTAATAAAACAAAGATTAAATGTAACTTGAAGATACGCTTTATGATTTTCTTAACGATTTCTTTGAATAAAAAAAGATGTTTACTTTAGACGTGATGCATTCATATAAAAACAGACAAACAGACAGACAGACAATTCTAAAAATTATAAAAATGTACTTATTTAATTATTTTTAGTTCCCCATAATGATTTTAGTCACCAAAATAAATATACAATGTACAGAAAGAGACACAACATGTTATCATCATTTCTATTATATGTATATATTTAATTGAAGAGAGATGGCGCTGCTAACATCAACTTGATGACTCAAACAAAGCCACCGTTGAGCAAATTCCCTACCCATACTTCAGAATATTTATCATAACTTTTGATGGAATGAACCGATTTTAATGAAATAAAGACTAAATGTAACCCGAAGATACACTTTATAATTTCCTTAACAATTCTTATGATATAAATAAGTACTTTAAACGTGATACGTTAACAAACAAACAGACAGACAGACAGACAGACAGAAAATTCTAAAAATGGTAGAAATGTATTTAATTACTTATTTTTAGTACCCCTCAATCACTTTTATTACAAAAATATAAAATGTACAGACATCTGCTATTTACAGTTTTATTATATGTATAGATTATCATAACATTATTAGCAGTGCTGAAATTTATCAAAGTGAATTATAGTTAATTCGTTACTATATCGTTCGTCAAAATCAACTGCACTTGCACTTACAATCAATATATTTACAAGTATATTATTTTTCCTTATGTAGTTTTAAAGGGTCAAAAATATCCGAATTTGAGATTTGAAAACCTTTAAAAATTCATTACTCCAAAAATATTAACATTATCGTAAAAAGTTATTGGAACTTTTTTTATTTGTATTTAATCAAAAAATATAAAAATAACTGTCCCGATTGAAAAAAAACTATTCTTTGCTATTGAAAAACAAAACTTGGTTTAAGCCAATATGGCATCGAGTTGCCCCATGGTACTATGCATTTATATCATCAGTAGGACAATTTGAAGAGAATCACATACAAATTGAGGTGGAATAATTTTCGGCGCTGATTCCCACCGGACTAATATAAGGTGTATTTAAATTTTGTCCTGCTTGCTAATGTTACTTATCTTTCTGAGGGCTTAAATATTTGGCAAATCGAATTTTAGATTCATTATACGTGGTAGAGACATGCTGCAGCTATATTAGTAGTATAGTTGTAGCACGAATGGGTCGGCTCGACCGGGGAAGGACCACTCTCTCACAGAATACCAGCGTAAAAAATAGCAGCTTAACACTGCTGTGTTTCGTATGGTGAGTGTAGAGAACCGTAGGCCCTTTTTACTGGAAAAGAGGCATTCCATCTTAGTCCTCACGGGTGACATCGCATCTGCATTTTGATTCGCAAACGAGGATCGATGTAGATGTCTATGGGCCACAGCAACCACTTACCATCAGGTGGACTGTGTGCTCGTTTGTCACCCGATCCTATAAAAAACAACTTGAAATAAGGCGACGGATTTCGCTGTCACCGCTTGGGCTATAAAACATATTAATATTATGTTTTTGTTTTCTTTCACAGCTTCAAAAATAATTCTGCGGGGTATCAACGGGGAGTTTCGATCTGGACAGCTAACTGCCATCTTGGGACCGTCGGGAGCCGGGAAGAGCACTTTGCTGAACGTACTAGCTGGTTACAAGTGAGTTCTGTGCTTATTATAAAACCGAGTTCGTGGTTCGAGGCCTATGTTTAGCAGTTGACTTTTGATACAGACTAATGATGATGATTATATAGGTATTGTTGGTATTTTAAAAGTAAATAGGAAAATTATGACAATTTCAAATCTATCAAAGACGTGTGACCTTGACCTTGCGATCTAGATAGCGCTGTACCGATTGCGTCGTTTGGTGCAGTCAAATAACGTATCTTTATCGCCGGGGCGTGGTAACCTTTATTTAGTTTGTTTACGCATTTTGAAATTGTATCAAATCATTACGCTTGACAAAAGAATTCACAACGATTTATGTATCAAAATTATATGGGAATAGTTTTTGTAATCAACAATTATTATTCGTTTATTTTCAAATAATTACGCTCCAGTCACAGATTAAATAACTATTAAATAAATAAAGTAACGATTAAATAAATAACGTAACGTACTTCAGTGTATAATGGCTGAAGTGCGATAGGTATATTTTTTTTATAGGATAGGGTGACAAACGAGTACACAGTCCACCTGATGGTAAGTGGTTGTTGTGAGCAGTGACCCATAGTCATCCACATCTATCCTCAATAAAGAATCAAAATGCAGAAGTGAAGTGCATGATCGCTTATAATTGGCCATGATCGGTGATGATCGAGCGTAATGGCTGCTGTGTCAGTTTTTGGACAATCATCAAAGGAAATTCAGCCATGATCGTGCGCGCGTGCGTGCGTCTACATGATTACAGAGTAAAGAGGTCGGTTTCTTTACTCATGTGTACATGATCGCCGATGCTCTATAAACTTACCTTGTTTTATTTCGGTATATAGTTAACATCCACCTTTTTTGCTTCCTTTTTTTTCACCACTCTTTATAGGTGTACATTTAAATAATGGTTATACATATAAACTAATTAGGTAAATAAGTACCAACAGCTGCAACCGTTTCAACGTCCATCTCGGACAGATGACAATACCTACAAAAATGTAGGACTAGGATGCACCATCGTGTGGGCAGCCGCGCAATTATTGTGACAATCATACCCCATTCTGTGGTTGTTACTCATGACCGATGGTGTATAGGCGGGGTTAAGCTGCTATTTTACGCTGGTATTCTGTGAGAGCGTGGTCCTTCCCCGGTCGAGTCGACCCATTCGTGCTACAACTATACTACCTACTAATATAACTGCAGCGCGGCTCTACCACGTTATTATGTAGAATTTGGATGTTGGGATACAGCATTTACTTATCTTCAGTGGCGTAGCATGCCTTAGACAGGCCTTGTATTAAAATTTGTTGGTTGCCCCAATGAAGGGTAAATTTTTTTTCACAAAAGGAATAAAAATGCGCGCAATGAATTAAAATAATTATATTATATTGATTATAAATATCGTTTTTGACTTTCTTAATGTTTGAAGTTAAAACTTCTTTCGGCGCGTTGTCCACTTTTTGTGATACCTATAATTGTTTTCTCGGGAAGTACGGCCTAAGAGTTTAAGTGAGATTGTGGATAACATTTTACGAATTTTTGTAGCCCGGGGGCCCCGTATCATACGTCTAATACGGCGGTAGCTACTCCCCTGCTTACCTTATATTAAGGCGATACCCCGACCAAAACCTTGCGATAGTGCGTTATTCAGAGACTATTATCTCATTAGTTCTGAATAATAAACTACATCTAAAAGCACATTATTAATGTTCGATATCCTATTATCACATTCCACGTTCTGATTTGTTTTTATGTGTTACAAATACATTTAAAATCTACTTTTAAAAAATGACTAAAATTATTGATTACATCCATCTGTTGCTAAAGGCAACGCTCTCATCATTTGAGGATTACACTAATGGATAGATAATTTAAAAATCTATTTTATTCACGTTTTATTTAATTTTTAAAATTCCTTTTTCTTTTTAATTAAAATAATTCCAAAAATCGTGTGAATTCTATGATAAAGCTGCGTACGTCTAAAGAGGGAACAAATGCTCAAGGTTATTTGGTCAGGGAAACGTCTTAATTAGGTGGGCTGATTAATTGACCTTTCATTTACTGAAACATCCATCAGTCCAAAATTACATCCTCCTAAACTTCGGGCAATATGTTGATTCTTAGGCCAAGAAAGCACTAGGTACTACATGGTAAAGGCATGTTGCAGCTGTACTTTTGTTGTAGCACGAATGGGGAGGCTAGACCGAAACAGAAACATAAACTTTTTTATTCAATATAGATTTGTTTTTTTTTGTTTTTGTTATTTTTTTTTTATTATTATAAATAATACTTATTAAAATTCACTCTTTTGTTTAGTTATCACTGGTTCGAAAAAAAACCTCTGTCCTGAGAAGAACCAGCAAGAAACCCAGCGGGACTTTTTTAAAATAACAGCTTACAATCATAACGTTACAATTAACAACACAACAAATTAGAAATAGCTTGGTAGCGATCACCTCATTCCCAGGGGTTATTATCATCCATAAATTCCTTAATATTATAATAATCCTTTTTATACAGACTTAGTATAATAAAGTTTTTTAACTTTGAGCAGGTCAAATTTTGTATATTTTCTGGAGTTTTATTGTAAAAGTGCATCAAGAATGAATTACTGACTCGGTAGAGTCGAGTACCTGGTACTACAAGCTTGTATCTGTTCCTAGTATTTACAGAATGAATATCACTTATTTTTGTAAAACTACTTTTATTTTTGTGTATGTACATTACATTTTCATAAATGTAATGAGAGGCCAAAGTTAATTTATTAATTTCCTTAAATTTTTGTCGCAGCGACTCTTTAGGCTTTAAATCATAAATTGTTCTTATGGCCTTCTTTTCTAAAACAAATATAATTTCCCCATAGCAAAATACCATACGACATTATGCTATGGAAATAGCTAAAGTAAACAAATCTAGCTGTATCAACACTGGTAAGATTTCTAATTTTTTTTACAGCATATGCTGCAGTTTTAAGTCTGCTTGCTAGTTTTGATAAATGGGGCCTCCATTGAACTAACGTTCGGCCGGGCCTCTCACTAGTAGAGGACCAACCTACCACCAGTATGTAGTACTGCTTGTTTAGCACTACCCAGGGGATACGTGTAGGGAATCAGGATGCAAGTAATTCCTACGGACGCGAGCAGTTTCATCCCCCAGTCATTGTCAAATTGACTCCATTCGGGGGGCTCCTTACACTGCGCTTATTGGTCGAGGCTACCTCTTGGGAATCTTTCTGAACACAATGAATGAAGCTTCAATAGCTTCGCATCTAGTGTGATTCCAAGAAATTTGAGGAAGGACTACGCTCTCACAGAATACTAGTGTATAATAGCAGCTTAATGCTGCTGTGTTTTTTATGGTAAATGTAGAGAACCAAATACCCTTTTTAATGGATACGAGACATTCCATCTTAGTCCTCAGGGGTGACAATATATCTGCATTCTGATGTTTAATCGCGGGTAGATGTAGGTAGGTATGGTCCACAGCATCCACTTACCATCGGATGGGCTGTGTGCTCGCAAGTCACACTTATTCTATAAAAAAGAAGTACTGTATACAAAATGCGCTTCTCAATTTTTATAAATTTAATCGTGTATGGAGTACTGTTACCACATTTTAGCTGGTGTTGCTCGCTGTCAGTTGGCTTCTTTTCTCATTGGAGAGACATGTGATAAGACTTTTAGGTGATACTTGATCCTTTAAGGCTAGATTGCATAGCCTTAAAGACAGGCTCGTAATTTCCAGACTGTCGGTGTTCTACAAGTTATATACTGTGAGTAAGGATTGTACTTTCTTATTTTTTACACGCTTGTATTACCTTGGTATGTATGTATTATGTATATATGTAATGGAATTTATGAATGTGATTTTCATCCCCTTCAAAACGTCGGATTGATTTTAAACTTCGCACTCTTATCAAGGACCGATGGCAATGCAATAATTTAAATATAGTTTTTAAAGGATTTTTTTTATAGGATAAGGGTGACAAACGAGCACACAGTCCACCTGATGGTAAGTGGTTGCTGCGGCCCATAGACATCTACATCTATCCTCTATTACAAATCAAAATGTAGATGCGTTGTCACTCGTGAGGACTAAGATGGAATGCCTCGTTTCCAGTAAAAAGGGTATTTGGTTCTCTACATTTACCATAAAAAACAGCAGCATTTCCGAATAATTCATAAAACAATTACGATTTCTGCCAGTTCAATCTACTCTATGCCGCTTAAGAGGATTTCGTTTCAAAAACAAAACACGATTTTGTAGTTAGGCGCACCAAAAAATAGAAAATAAATAACAGTTTTGTAGATAACCGAACTAAAAAGTAGAAAATAATTTTCAATAAGTTTTAAATAAGAAAATAGTTATTAAAATAAAAAATTCTTGTGTGCTTGATGTCATTTGTTGTAAATATTATTATTTACAACAAATGACATCATCTGTAATTAAAGGGATTATCTGTAAAATTAGCGTCATCATAAAAATGTCTGAAAAAGCACCCCACGCTTTTTTATAATAAAACGAATTTTTTATGTTCATCACTATTTTCTTATTTTAAACTTATTGAAAATTATTTTCTACTTTTTAGCTCGGTTATCTAGAAAAGCGTGTTTTTTTAGTTTTTTAAACTATTATACCTATATTCTATTTCTATTCTGTCATAGAAAGACCTGACGTACGGTTAGATTTTGCCCCAAGTCCTAACGTTGCTTTCATACTTCAAATGCACACAAAGGGTTTCGTTTTCTCGTTTTTACCAGTACCGGTAGCTTAGACACCGAGAGTTTCGAATTTTCAATTTACTTTTATCCCTCCAAACTACTATAATTTAAGTTTTTTATGGAAAATACTAATAAGTAATCTATAGACTGTCGAGTTAATCTTTTGATAGACTATTTTTCAATTCAAGCTCTATTTCGTTCTCTTTATCTCTTATGTTTCCTCACATCTCTAACCACCATAACAATAACAAAGAGTAATGAATTAAAAAGCAGATACAACATTGATTG